TGCTTATTGTGCGTCTGTTCACTGAGAGCACACGAACACAGAGACCGAATCACCGCAGGACTTTAAGATCCCACTGAGTCCTTTTAGAGCGCAGGGAGGTCCAGCTTCAAGCTTCACTGCTGACCTCTGACCTCTGAACGAGCCTGAGGTCCTCGGGCCCTTTGGGTCGTAGTCCAGACTCCAGACTAAAGGTGATGGTGCTTTCTCTACCTGCCTGAGGAAGTTCAGCAGAATCAGTTTCATCACTTCAGAATCCGGTGCTGTCGATCAGAGCTTAGAACCCCTGTGTTCCTTTTCAGCACACGGTTCTGATGTGTTCTTCACAGCTTTCAGCTGGATCGGGCTTCCTCCATGATTATTGGGGATTTCAAAATAAAGCTCAGCTGAGTGAGGAGGAGGTGACAGGACCCTCTACCTGCTCTCCTCTCTGTGTGTCTGATGTTAATCATCTTTTAAATTTCAGCGGCTGGTCTGGGACTCCCTCCGGGAGCTGGTTTCCACCCGACTGGCTGCTGAGCTCAGCCTTGGGGGTGGAGAGAGAGTGTCTGCGGGGGTCTCTCTGCCTCCGGATCAGCCACTGGACTGTGAAACCCTGATGTGTCTGACAACAAATTAAACGCCTTCGTGCTTCAGTCGCCTCCAGGTCAGAGCTCAGGGTCACTGACAGGCTTTTATCTGTGTGAGGACTCAGCGGGGCGTTCAGGCTCGGACTACTTACATGGAATCCAGATACGTGATTTCATTTCTAATGAAACCCAGCTGTAATCTGTTAGCTCTGAAATGATCAGGATCACATCGGGGCTACGTCTGGATCTCCGAGGGTCCTGAAGGTTTTACTGATCAGATGAAGGTTTTTATTCTCACACAGTGAATCTGTCGTTCGACGCTTTGAGTTTCAGATTAAAGCGTGTTTCTTCTATTTGTTCTAAAGGAGGAAGAAGAATATTCAGAAGTACACAGAGACGGGTTCTTTCTCTCGCGTAGACGGAGGTCCGGTGGCGCCGCTGACAGATCAGTGGGAAGTCCACAATCCAGGAAGTGCTTTATGACACGGGAGGGGCGGAACTAACAAGACACAGGTCAGGGGAACGGGACAGGTGCAAACACCAAGCGACAGGAAGCACAGGTGCACTTTCAAAGTAAAATAGGAAACAGAATGACTGAACAGAGGAAACAGAGGGGGGGGGGGGGGGGCGTTGTGATTAATGAGGATCCAGTGGAGCTTTTAATGACGTCGTTAAATACGATCGCTCCTGAACACACCTCAGAGCTACAGGTGCACACGGTTTCTTCTCATGTCTCAGGCTGCACGAGAGGCTTCAAGCAGCTGAACGGCGAGTAAAGTGCTCTGTCTGCTGTCATCAGCAAACGCCGCCGCCACAGTGGAGACGCTGCTACTGATACTCCTCTGACTGGTACTCTGACTGGTACTCTGACTGGTACTCTGACTGGTACTCTGAGTACTGTGAGGACCTGCTGATGCCACTGGTCCAGGATTTAGTCTCTAAATGTGGGGTATCTCTAGTATCTGTCGCTGTGAGAGATCTGACTCCAGGTCAGTTTGGATCATTTCAGTTTCTAATTACTGTTGATTTGTGATCCACTTTTCCTGCAGGAGCTTCGGTTGACGTGGGAACTCTGTGTTATGTAACAGCTCTCAGCTGTGATGTTTCTCAGGATGACGAATCAAAACCTCAGCGAGCTGAAATGAGCTGGATTCTCCCCAAAAATCCTCTGCAGCCGTAAAATATCAGCTGCCATGATGTACTTATATTGCAATGATACTGCTGGAGTACTTCTGTCGTACTGCTGAGTACTTCTGTGATGTTCTTGTCCCTGATTGTCTCTGACAGTAATAATGATAGTAGTATTTGTACACTACATGCTGTGATGAACACAGTACCTGACGTGTACATCGCAGTATGATTATTTCCTGTCAGCAGATCAATAACGCTTTTATTCTGAAAGTCAGAGAAATTTAACAAAATAAAAACAAAACAAAATCTCCTCCTCTTTGCACCTCCTCCCTTCAGCTCCACTCCTCCTCTCCTTTACTAACACCTCCTCTCCAGTTTGACCTTCATCCTTTTAACTTCTCCCTCACCTCCTCATCTGAATGTCCTCCCACCTCCTCCTCTTCCTCCTCTTTTCACCTCCTTCTGTGCTCCCCGCATGTTTTCCTCTCTGTCTCCTCTGTACCTACTCTTTTTTGGTTGACACCTCCTTAACACTTTAACCTCCACCTCCTCCTCTACACCTGTATCTCCTTCTCCTTTACCCCCTCCATCACTCTCCTCCTCTCCTGATCTCCTCCCCATTTTCTCTTTCTTTAACTCCTCTCCGCTCTCTTCTCCTCTCTAGCACCTCCTTAGTGCCTGTTTCCATCCTCCTCCCTTCCTCTTCTCCACCTCCTCCTCTCCTGTCGGAGTCTCCTCTGCACCTCCTAATTTTTTGGGAGCCTCCTCCCCCCTGTCTCCACCTCCTCCCTCTCTCAGCCTCCCCTCTCCAGCAGCAGCAGCAGCAGCAGCAGCCTCTCGGTGTTTCGGCGGAGCAGGAGGAGAAACAGAGGAGCGGCAGAGCGATGCTGAGAGCGCGGCAGGATGTCTTTCACCTCCTCCTCCTGGTACCGGACTCTCCGAGTCTCCCTTCTTCTGCAGCTCCTCCTTATGCCGCCGTGCCTCCTCCACCCGCAGCCGTGCCACCTCCTGGCTCAGATCGGACACACGGTGCGCGTCGGTGCGCTCCTGCCGACGCAGCGGGCGGCTCGCATTCAGGTCCAGGCGGCGCTGAGCCGCGCGGCGGCCGCGATGAGTCGGGACCGGGACCGGGACCGGGACTTGGACTGGGAACCGGACCCGGACCGGGAGAGTTACAACTTTCTTCCCTATAACCTGAGCCTGGAGCTGGTGTCCCGGCAGCCGGCGGCCGCGGACCCGGAGTCCCTGTTCCGGTGCGTGTGTCAGGGCGTGGTGGTGCAGGGAGTCTCTGCCGTGCTCGCCTTCCCGCAGACCCGCGAGGAGCTGCTACAGGTGGACTTCATGGCCTCCTTCCTGGAGATTCCGTTCCTCAGCGTCTTTGAGCACGGAGAGCCGCTGCGCACGCAGGTACGGTACTCACCTCTCTGCAAACTACACCTGGACCCGGAGCGGCAGGTGCGCTCCGGGTCAGCCGGTCTGACCTGGTCACTGTCCTGGGGTTTGTGGGTCAGTGTGATCCGGTTTGACCTTGACCTGTTAAACGTCTGGGGTTTGTGGTGTCTGGGTAAACACACGGAGCGCGTGCTCGGTCACAGACCGGATCCTGAACCCCCGTGAAACTTCAGAGGGTTCAGGTCTCCGCGTTCCACTTCGGTCCGCTTCGGTCCGCCTGAGCTTATTGATAAACAGTCAACAATTAGGTCAGTGTCAGACGGAAACCTCACATCTCCGGTTCGGCTGAAGGATGAAGGATGTTATGTGTTAAATCCTTCAGTCCGTGGAGATACGAGGTTCTGAGCCCGCAGCAGATGTTCAGTGTTTGGGGGGGGGGGGGGGGGGGGGTCAGTTATCGATTGATTGATTGACGCAGAAATCAAAACAAATGATTGATTAATGATTTCCAGCTGATTGTGACCGGGTGGTGCGTTCAGGCTCCCTCCAAAAGGTGGATTTTTGGACGTCACAGTTTTTTGATTGACAGATCATGTAACTCAAGGTTCCTCCTGGAAAACCTGGAGAAGTCATTAAAGCGGTCCTGGAAGAAATGGTTTGACGTGTTGAGATTATGTTTCCTCTTCTGCTCAGAACAGGAAGTGGTTTGTCCTTTCAGAAAGGTAGAAAGGTCACCTGTAACCAGACTAAAAGGTCCAGTGTGTAATATTTAATATCCTCACCTGTGTTCTCAGTGGTGTATAAAAACCAATGAGTCCTTATGTTTTTATCACCTCAGAAGAAGGAGACATTTCTGTCTACAGACACCGCTGGGCCTCTTACATGGACGTCACCATGTTTCTACGGGAGCCCAAATGGACAAACTGCTCTACAGAGCGCCTTTCAGTAGTAACCTTAGTAGTATTAGCAGCAGTAGTAACCTTAGTAGTAACCTTAGTAGTAGTAGCAGCAGTAGTAACCTTAGTAGTAACCTTAGTAGTATTAGCAGCAGTAGCAACCTAAGTAGTAACCTTAGTAGTATTAGCAGTAGTAGTAACCTTAGTAGTAACTTTAGTAGTATTAGCAGCAGTAGCAACCTAAGTAGTAACCTTAGTAGTAACCTTAGTAGTATTAGCAGCAGTGGTAACCTTAGTAGTAACCTTAGTAGTATTAGCAGCAGTGGTAACCTTAGTAGTAACCTTAGTAGTATTAGCAGCAGTAGTAACCTTAGTAGTAACCTTAGTAGTATTAGCAGCAGTAGTAACCTTAGTAGTAACCTTAGTAGTAGTAGCAGCAGTAGTAACCTTAGTAGTAACCTTAGTAGTATTAGCAGCAGTAATAACCTTAGTAGCAGTAGCAGTAGTAGTAACCTTAGTAGTATTAGCAGCAGTAGTAACCTTAGTAGTAACCTTAGTAGTAGTAGCAGTAGTAGTAACCTTAGTAGTATTAGCAGCAGTAGTAACCTTAGTAGTAACCTTAGTAGTATTAGCAGCAGTAATAACCTTAGTAGTATTAGCAGTAGTAGTAACCTTAGTAGCAGTAGCAGTAGTAGTAACCTTAGTAGTATTAGCAGCAGTAGTAACCTTAGTAGTAACCTTAGTAGTAGTAGCAGTAGTAGTAACCTTAGTAGTATTAGCAGCAGTAGTAACCTTAGTAGTATTAGCAGCAGTAGTAACCTTAGTAGTAACCTTAGTAGTAGTAGTAGCAGTAATAACCTTAGTAGTAACCTTAGTAGTATTAGCAGCAGTAGTAACCTTAGTAGTATTCGCAATAGTAGTAACCTTAGTAGTATTAGCAGCAGTAGTAACCTTAGTAGTATTAGCAGCAGTAGTAACCTTAGTAGTAACTTTGGTAGTATTAGCAGCAGTAGTAACCTTAGTAGTAACCTTAGTAGTAGTAGTAGCGGTAGTAACCTTAGTAGTAACCTTAGTAGTATTAGCAGCAATAGTAACCTTAGTAGTAGTAGTAGTGGTAGTAACCTTAGTAGTAACCTTAGTAGTATTAGCAGCGGTAGTAACCTTAGTAGTAACCTTAGTAGTAGTAGTAGCGGTAGTAACCTTAGTAGTAACCTTAGTAGTATTAGCAGCGGTAGTAACCTTAGTAGTAACCTTAGTAGTAGTAGTAGCGGTAGTAACCTTAGTAGTAATAGTAGTGGTAGTAACCTTAGTAGTAGTAGCAGCAGTAGTAACCTTAGCAGTAGTAGCAGCAGTAGTAACCTTAGTAGTAGTAGTAGTAGTAGTAACCTTAGTAGTAGTAGTAGCGGTAGTAACCTTAGTAGTAACCTTAGTAGTAATAGTAGCGGTAGTAACCTTGGTAGTAGTAGCAGCAGTAGTAACCTTAGTAGTAGTAGCAGTAGTAGTAACCTTAGTAGTATTAGCAGCAGTAGTAACCTTAGTAGTAACCTTAGTAGTAGTAGTAGCGGTAGTAACCTTAGTAGTATTAGCAGCAGTAGTAACCTTAGTAGTATTAGCAGCAGTAATAACCTTAGTAGTATTAGCAGTAGTAGTAACCTTAGTAGCAGTAGCAGTAGTAGTAACCTTAGTAGTATTAGCAGCAGTAGTAACCTTAGTAGTAACCTTAGTAGTAGTAGCAGTAGTAGTAACCTTAGTAGTATTAGCAGCAGTAGTAACCTTAGTAGTATTAGCAGCAGTAGTAATCTTAGTAGTAACCTTAGTAGTATTAGCAGCAGTAGTAACCTTAGTAGTATTCGCAGTAGTAGTAACCTTAGTAGTATTAGCAGCAGTAGTAACCTTAGTAGTATTAGCAGCAGTAGTAACCTTAGTAGTAACCTTAGTAATAGTAGTAGCGGTAGTAACCTTAGTAGTAATAGTAGTGGTAGTAACCTTAGTAGTAGTAGCAGCAGTAGTAACCTTAGTAGTATTAGCAGCAGTAGTAACCTTAGTAGTAACCTTAGTAGTAGTAGTAGTAGTAGTAACCTTAGTAGTATTAGCAGCAGTAGTAACCTTAGTAGTATTAGCAACAGTAGTAACCTTAGTAGTAACCTTAGTAATAGTAGTAGCGGTAGTAACCTTAGTAGAAACCTTAGTAGTAGTAGTAGCGGTAGTAACCTTAGTAGTAATAGTAGTGGTAGTAACCTTAGTAGTAGTAGCAGCAGTAGTAACCTTAGTAGTATTAGCAGCAGTAGTAACCTTAGTAGTAACCTTAGTAGTAGTAGTAGTGGTAGTAACCTTAGTAGTAGTAGCAGTAGTAGTAAACTTAGTAGTAGTAGCAGTAGTAGTAGCCTTAGTAGCAGTAGTAGTAACATTAGTAGTAGTAGCAGTAGTAGTAGCCTTAGTAGCAGTAGTAGTAACCTTAGTAGTAGTAGTAGTAGCAGTAGTAGTAACCTTAGTAGTAGTAGCAGTAGTAGTAACCTTAGTAGTAGTAGCAGTAGTAGTAGCCTTAGTAGCAGTAGTAGTAACCTTAGTAGTAGTAGCAGTAGTAGTAACCTTAGTAGTAGTAGCAGTAGTAGTAGCCTTAGTAGCAGTAGTAGTAACCTTAGTAGTAGTAGCAGTAGTAGTAGCCTTAGTAGCAGTAGTAGTAACCTTAGTAGTAGTAGTAGCGGTAGTAACCTTAGTAGTAGTAGCAGTAGTAGTAACCTTAGTAGTAGTAGCAGTAGTAGTAACCTTAGTAGTAGTAGTAGCAGTAGTAAACTTAGTAGCAGTAGCAGTAGTAGTAGCCTTAGTAGCAGTAGTAGTAACCTTAGTAGCAGTAGCAGTAGTAGTAACCTTAGTAGTAGTAGCAGTAGTAGTAACCTTAGTAGTAGTAGTAGCGGTAGTAACCTTAGTAGTAGTAGTAGCAGTAGTAAACTTAGTAGCAGTAGCAGTAGTAGTAGCCTTAGTAGCAGTAGTAGTAGCCTTAGTAGTAGTAGTAGCAGTAGTAAACTTAGTAGCAGTAGCAGTAGTAGTAGCCTTAGTAGTAGTAGTAGCAGTAGTAAACTTAGTAGCAGTAGCAGTAGTAGTAGCCTTAGTAGCAGTAGTTGTAACCATAGTAGTATTAGCAGCAGTAGTAACCTTAGTAGTGGTAGCAGTAGTTGTAACCTTAGTAGTAGTAGCAGTAGTAGTAACCTTAGTAGTAGTAGCAGTAGTATTAACCTTAGTAGTGGTAGCAGTAGTAGTAACCTTAGTAGTAGTAGTAGCGGTAGTAACCTTAGTAGTAGTAGTAGCAGTAGTAAACTTAGTAGCAGTAGCAGTAGTAGTAGCCTTAGTAGCAGTAGTAGTAGCCTTAGTAGTAGTAGTAGCAGTAGTAAACTTAGTAGCAGTAGCAGTAGTAGTAGCCTTAGTAGCAGTAGTTGTAACCATAGTAGTATTAGCAGCAGTAGTAACCTTAGTAGTGGTAGCAGTAGTTGTAACCTTAGTAGTAGTAGCAGTAGTAGTAACCTTAGTAGTAGTAGCAGTAGTATTAACCTTAGTAGTGGTAGCAGTAGTTGTAACCTTAGTAGTAGTAGCAGTAGTAGTAACCTTAGTAGTAGTAGTAGTAGTAGTAACCTTAGTAGTAGTAGCAGTAGTTGTAACCTTAGTAGTAACCTTAGTAGTAGTAGTAGTAGTAGTAGTAACCTTAGTAGTAGTAGCAGTAGTAGTAACCTTAGTAGTAGTAGCAGTAGTTGTAACCTTAGTAGTAGTAGCAGTAGTAGTAACCTTAGTAGTAGTAGCAGTAGTTGTAACCTTAGTAGTAGTAGCAGTAGTAGTAACCTTAGTAGTAGTAGCAGTAGTAGTAACCTTAGTAGTAGTAGCAGTAGTTGTAACCTTAGTAGTAGTAGCAGTAGTAGTAACCTTAGTAGTGGTAACATTAGTTGTGGAGGAGGAGACAAGGAGATGAGGAGGAGGAGGTAGAGGAGGAGGTGGAAGAGGAGAGGAGGTGATGAGGAGGGAGACGAGGAGACGAGGAGGCAGAGGAGGAGACGATGAGGAGCAGCTTAAGTTAGTTTGATTTTCATGTTGGCTCGGGAACCTTCTCCCTGATGGTAGACGTTCAGATCC